CGATCGATCCAAACAGTGTTAGATCACCGAAATAACAGCCGTTGGTTAGATTAAGTCCGGGACAATTGCTATGAATATTGTTATGGCTTCTCGCTTAAATTGGTCTGTCTTATACGACCTTGATAATATTTGTTAACACAGTTTTACCGTTCGATTCGAATTTTCAATTAAAGTTTTGAACAGAGATTCTTCTTTCCTTTTTTTTCTCTTATAAAAGACGTTAAATTCGAAGAAACAGATAAGGGGAGTCTAATAGAATTAGAATATATAATGTGTAGTCACACGAATAGATGGATGCCACACGAATTAACTTAAAAAAAAATCATAAGCCAAATTTTCATATGCGGAATGCCGCTGAATCGCAACAAAAGTGATCCGTTTTTGAAACGGATGGTTACTGGTGATGAAAAGAAGGTCATTTACGACAACGTCAAGCGAAAACGGTAGTGATTGTATCGGAATGAATCGGCGCAAACGGTGACCAAGACAGGCTTGTTGGTCAGGTGGGTTTTTCGATGTGTTTTGTGTGATTGGTATAGAATCATCTACTATGAACTGAACTCCTATGGCCGAACTCTTAATTCGGACCTGCACTGTCAACAGTTGAACCATTTGAAGGAACCAATCGCACAGAAGCGGTCCGCTTTGGTCAATAAGAGAGGAATCGTGTACCATCAGGACAACGTCTGATTCGGGAGCTTGGTTGGGAGGTTCTTATGCATCTACATGATAGTCGGGACCTGACACCAAGTTACTGTATATGGTCGAATGGTTTTGCTGGTGAAAAAAGGACGAGAGTTTCTATGAGAGTGGGGAGGCACAATGAAATTACCTTAAAAATGGCAACAAGTTACAGAATAAAACGGTGCATATTTAACAAAAATCGTATTTATTTTTAAAAAAAGCTATATAAGTGTACCGCATCATCAGTAGCAAATTAACTGACAGCAAGCAACGAGCGTATAAAAATATAATGCTGCAACAAAAGCAGTAAACCCATAAATACAACAAAAACAACAGCAGCAGCTCAATGAACAACCACTTACATTCTATAAACCACCAAATTAGTATGGCAAGTGGACGAGCCAAGCTTTCGCGCACACAAACAAACACACATACATACGTTGGGTTGAAAAAAAAATTTAAATCGTGTCATCATTTTAATTTCATTTAAAACAACAGCGCAAGAATCCTTGAAATGGTTTCTTGACATCGGAAAATGGCAGGCTAGCAAGCAGAAAGGCTGGAAGGCTGGCAAACAGGCAATTGTTAAATGGCGTATGACCAACATGCCAGGCAGCGAAAGATGCAGATATACACTGTCGCGCAAGGGGGACAAGGGAAAGCAGTCGAAGCACACATATATAAAGAAACAGATAAAGAAGACAAGAGAATGGTCAAAACAAAGGCAGAATGTGGCAAGTAGTGAAGGCATAGCGATGAATGTGGATGGATATCTTTATCTTAAGAGCTGGAAAACGGTAATAATGGCAAGAACTTGTAACTGCCACGAACTTCACCAACCACCAAACAGCACTAGGATGGCCAGTAAACAAGCTAGACAGACGGACAGACGGACAGATAGCATAGACAACGAGCAAATGAAAATAAAAGGAGAAATAATAATGATTGTACTTACATATAGGTATTTATATTCGTACAGTGATGATTATAAAAATAGCATTGCAGCGGAATTTTAGTCATGCCTTAAAAAAAAACATTTTGTGATTTAAGATTTTAAGCCCCCTCGAAATAGGTTATTTTGACTTAACTTGTAAAAGTTCGAAAATACGAGGCAAAATGCATCAAAAACTGGGAACTCGTGGAGATTAAATTCGCTATCACTGAAAGGACCGCTATCTCACTCACTGTTATATAAAAATAGTTCACAGAAAGAGGGAGAAAGATAGCAAGAGAACAGAAAGAAGTATTTCATGTCATTATCACAGTTACCGTTTCGAAAAATAAACAGAGTTTTTTCATTATCGCCACAATCATATGTAGTGGCAGCGTTGCTAAATAGTTTCCCGAATCTGGTAACACTAAACAGCTGTGAAATTTGGGACAAGTTCAGTGTTGCCAGCAGTGAAAATTTATCTTCAAAATAAAGATTTTTGTAAAAAAAAATATCATCAAAATCTTAAAGTGATAAAGAGATATTAAAACGAAATCAAAATTTCATGCAAAAAATCTTCATTATCAAGATATCTGGTAATACTAAAAGATTTATCTTCTTAAATTTGTTCGATTTTTGTAGTTTTAGTCTTAACATGACAGATTTTTCATGAACATTTTCTGGCAACACTGAACAAGTTACGCGGCCAGCAAACCTAATTTTTAACTGTTACTGTTTAGTTGTGAAAAAAAATGTAACATAAAAAAAATAAAATTGTATTAATATGTTTGTGGAAAAATATATTTAATTTTTTTCTCACACTACACACCGAATAAGGTAAAGACAAGAGCTGTTATTTCGATGATCTAACCTTGTTTGGATCGGTAAAAGTCGTTGCAACGTCGAACGCTCTGGTAACCAATTTATTGGTTATCCATTAGATAGGTTTCTCTATCAACTGATCTCAATCCGATTGAAACGCTTTAAGCTAAGCTCAAAAGGTTATTTTAGTACCATAAAACATTTACCAATCAGTTTTCAGCTTACTCTCCATGACCGGATATATGGTACAGGGTAAACCGTACATATTTCGTATAAACTGCTGTCGAAAAAACAGAAGGTCAAAGAATTGGTACTGTGGACCGTGTTAACCATGTTTTAATAAAGAGACTTTATAAAATGCAAAAATTTCACGCTAAGTTTTTACCTCGCGCAAATATTGCCGCAATTCAACCTATTGAGGTGTATTTTGTAATACATTGACATTGTGTAAATTTTTACTTTTCAATTTATTTTCAATTAATGATATTTAAATACTCAGAATCCCATTGTTTTCATCGGCACTGTGTAAATGTCAGTGCATGTAGAAGGCAATACGGAAAAACCAGCAACAGGACAAGACACAGGTGATGTTGAGCACAGGCAATTCAACGCACACAAACTCAGCCACAAACACAGGGGCTTACAATGAAACACTATGTGCAACTCATGTAAAAAACATAAAATGCTCGAGGTTAAAAGAAGGATAGGTAGAGGTAGAAGCGAACACACGAACACATTTGGCATATTCAGTATAAGGCACTTATTACCCTATTAGAAGCAAAATAGTCAAAACAAAAATCGTATATGCATATACCACAGAGGATTATATGGTGCTACGCATTTCATTCCGTGATTTTTCAAAGCGATACAAACAGCATCGACTCCAATGCAAAAAGGTAGAAAACACTATGCACAAAAACACGCACATAGATCAGTATGTTGGCACCACTGGAGGCAACAGCGCAACATAAAGCCAGCTGGTATAAAAACCAAATAAAATCGCATAAAAAAATTTAAAAAAATACTCAGTGCAACTTGTTATTTTTAGACAATCCAATGCAATATTGCAACAAAAGATATAAAATAAAACTGTTGCAATATTTGCGAGAACGCGCAAGCAACGCAGCCAATGAGCTAGAAAAAAAAAAACAAAAACACGAAATGTTGCACCAACATTAGCCCTGCAACAAAGTACCATTGTATTTGTGCATTTAAAATAAACCGGATGAACGCGTACGAATGTATGTTGCGTCCACTGTCATTGCTTTTGCAGATGAAATACACATACATATATAGATATGTATAGGTACGTAAATATATGTAAGTGTGTGTGTGTGTATTTCGTTGCCTTGGAAGCGCAGGAGCTGCGGGCGTTCTATGGATTCACTGCTCGAAAAAACTGCAACTAGGCAGGAATTAGCTGTGAGCGCTCTGTGCAATAGGGTAGGCACTGTTGCATTCGCCGTGGACTGACAAACATGGACGCACAGTTTACACGTACAATGTACCAATAGCCTGTATTCGGTGCAACAAGCAAGTTGCACATGCGTTTACATTTTCTGCTTGCCTTTCGCACATTTGCTTTCAAATATAATTTAGTTAAAGGAAAAAGTCAGATTTTCGTTTATCTCTTATACAGCTGTTTGTTTATTTTTTCTGATTATAACCACATTTTTTGTTCGTGGCGAAACGAAGAGGTCAGTAAGGTTGCGTATAGATATAACTTTGTTCCTGAGATTATATTTGACTAGAGGAACATAAATTAAGATTTCCTTGATCCAATGGAATTAATTTTTAGATTTCCTAATGTATAATTCTGGGATTGGAGCATTGCTTTGGACAATAATCCATGCCAAATTTCGTGAAGATATCTTATCAAATATCAAATCCATACAAGAACTTGAGTTTGATCGTTCAGTTTTTGTGGCAGATATATGATATAGTGGTCCGATTTCGGCGGTTCCGACATATGTGCAGCTTCTTGAAAAGAAAAAATTACTGCGAAATTTCAGATTACTACCTCAAAAACTAAGAGACTCGTTCGAGTATATACAGACAGACGAACAGACACAGATAAATCGAGGACTCCAATATACTGCTAGGTGCTAGTGAAGCGATGCGATCCCTGTTTCGAAACATGGATCCCAGAGCCTTAATTCTCGTCTGCAGACTGCTGTGCAGTTCAGGTGTAGCAGGTGTTCTGGGGTTTCCGGCTCCATGTCACAGAAACGGCAGTTTGCAGAAGAGACTAAGCTCATGTTGAATAAATGCTTATTGAGCCTGCAATGTCCGGAGTAGAACGCGACAAGCGGCCGGAATTTGTTTTTTGAGGATTGATTACGGTTTTTAACCGTCTGAGGTTCGGATATGTTTTCATATCAAATTTAGTACAATATTGAACATAGAAATTAACAGTTTGCAAACTGGAAAATAAGTACGCTCAATATGCTTATCTACTGATAGCAAAAATGTAACTGCACTTACACACATACATATGTACGTACATATATACTTCGCAATAATTATTTACATCTTGTCATATGTTTTGTTATTATATACTTACCACCATCAGAGTCAGCTTTACGCACTACAATGCTAGCAGGCGTTGAACTAGCGCTGGCCGTTATTGTGTTGGTCAAACCGAAACTTGAGGGTTTCTTCCAACCGCGCCAGTTATTACATAATGACTCTGGCTCGGAGCTCCAACTACAAAGGGAATCTTCTTCAAAACGATCAGAGTCATCGAAGCTAAAACGGTCGATTTCTTCTGGATTCCACTCAGCTGCTCCGGCACCTGCTGCGGCGCCTTGCTCGCCAGCACCCCCCGCAACGTTGGCCGCTGCTGCGGCAGCGGCTGCAACAGCGCCGTTACGTCGTGATCCCTCTGCTGCATTACCACCACCACTACCACCAGCGGCGCCAGCAGCAGCGTTATTACCGCCGCCACCGCTACCACCACCGTTTCCGTTGTTACCGTTGCGGTTCGCCAGGATGCTGGTCTTTTATACACCAAGTGATTCGATATTATGCACACTTTTCTTAGAGAATATTTTCTCAAAAATTGTGCTGGCTGCGTACGTGATTAACAAGCACTTTTTTTAATTTATGATGTTTTACACTCGGGACGCGACGGATGATTTAACCTTTTCGTATGAAGAGTTCATAGAATACGTGAATCTGGGTGTGTGTGTGTGTGTGTGCGTATGTGTCTAAATTAATCAACTAGCAGATAAATTTATGTTTTTAATTAACTTCACTTATGTATATGGTATTGTTTATGAATATATGTACAATTATATATGTATATATTAATTATATTACAAGTCAGTTTACTGTGTTCAACCCGTATTTTTTTCAATTAATTGTCAACTAATACTCCCGTACGATTTCGACGAAGATGAAAAGCACGACAATTATATTTTGTCCATTTAGTGGTCTACACTAAAATTTCAAGTCTTATGTGATGTGCTACATAAACGAGTCCGTTGTTGATGAATACAAACACGTCCTCGATGTCTGCGCGGCCTTTCACGAATGTTGGGGATATTTGATTTACTTTTTATTTAATAATTTTTTTTCATTTGCCCCCCTACCAAAACATGAGAACCATGGAACATTGCGACGACAATAACACGAACGAACACTACCGCAAAACAAATCAAGAAGCGACCAAACGGGATTGCGTGCTACGAATAAGCGCGATAGCACAATACAAACCAAACGTACACGGATGAGTTCGACAACGTTTGAACGTCAACGTCTACGATGACGCAAGGCAGCGCAGCTACACAATACAAATAAAATTATGCACAGTTAAAACAGCGCAGCAGCAGCATTGATGGCTGAGCTACCAGCTGCTCGCCTTTTTAAATTCTTTTACAACTCCTTATTCCTCTGATGTTTCCTTGGTTTCTTTTTTACCCACTTTCTTGCTATCAATTGTCATCCAACAATTTAATTCGCCTTAATCATAACTTTGTTCTTGTTTACGTTCTGGCAGTTGTTATTGTTGTTACTGTTGCCACTCGTTCTTCGCCTTTTGTTGTCTTCGCTCCGCAACCAGTTCTTTTTTCACAACTTTTTTTTCTATGCTTCCACCACTTTTGCTTTCCTTTGCATTAACATTCACTTCTAACTAAGTATATTCCCCTAACCCTTTTCATTGAAAATCGTCTTCCAAAATAATATACAATTTCAGGCGATTACAACGCTTTTGGACGTCTCGAATTGCTACTGTCAAGTCACATGACTTTTTTTGGAAAATAAATTTAACACTTTTTAAGTTTTCAGCTAATTTTCACATAATTTAAATTGAGAAAATTGTTCGATTCTACTACCGAAAGGAATATGAACGAGTGCCCCTGACAATCGTAGGCAGAATCGAACCACTCATTCACTTAATATTTTTGACATTTCATAACACCGTTTCGCACTTGATTTCAACAATTTCATATTTAAACCGTTTCTACTATAGTTTTCTACACATTTTCCAGTTTTTCTATGCGATAATTTCATCTAAATCCCAAATTTTCTTCGCCAAATTTTCACACACAGAATTTCTTTGGAACACAAAACGCACACACACACTCGTACGGTCGAATGATGCTGCCATCCTGAAAAAGTGAAATATTGATATTAAGCGCAAATCTCTCAAAATCCCTAAACAAAATATTTCCAATACATTAATAATAGACTACGCATTAAGTCGGCGACATATATTTTTGTAAATTCAAGTAATGAAAAAACACGAGACACATGACATAAATCTGCATTATTTTTATTGTAAATAACATTAAGCAGACAATCAAATAAATAAATTGATGGTTTGTAAAACTAATGTAAGTGGCAAGGCTTTGGATTATCGATGCATTTGGGGAAAAGGAAAATCGTCATCTCCCTCTCACTTGATTGCAGTGGTGTAAGCGAAAAGGAATGCTTTTGATAACAAACTGTATGAAAGTGATAGCTATATATGACAATGCGGCGAATTCTAAAATGCAGGGATGTATCTTTAATCAAATAACTCCATACAGAAGGCTTCATTTAAAATTTATTCAATTTTATGTTTTCGTCTTCATTATAAAAACAATCCAAATAGGACTTTTCTCATTACTAATTACTAATAATGGGATTACATAAAAGATAAAATATATTGAATTGAGTTGTAAACTCATTCTCCAATTTCCAAAACTATATTAATATCATTTTCAAAATTTCAAAATGAATTTGTTTTTTGATATCTATATGGAATGAAATGTTTTGACCATTCTATGGTTCCTGAAAACACTCTCCAAAATCTTTTATTAAACTCTTTTGAAGTAATCTCTAAACAATTACTTATTTCAAGCTTTGAATATCAAACTGGCTCAACGGATTAACTAGCAGTATTCGAAATAATAAATAACACCAGCTTTGTATACAATTTATTTTTCTATTTGTGAATTAAAAAATTGTTCCTAGATATATAACAGTGAGTTGAAACATATATAAAAAAATTTTATCAGTAGTGCTAATCACCAAATTCAAAAGTGTTTTGCAACCCTAATTTTCTTGCAGTATTGACGTTTGCACAGCTAATGACACTTTTGACAGCTCAAAATTGCAATTCTTCTTCATATTTCTTTTTCAATATCCGGTTCACGCAATTGGTCTGTGTTTTGTTTAAGCTCTTAATAATTTTATTAAATATTTATAAAAATGGTGAATTTGTTTGCGAATGTAATGTGTGTGAAGCTTCAGAATATGTTTCCAAGTAATTTAAGCCAAAAATGTCGCCTTGTTAATGGCTGCGTAACTGGATGCTAACAAATAAATATATCCATCGATTGTGCTGCCCAATTAATGGCGGGTTTATAGTATTTAGACTGGATAAACAAATTCACCATCAAAAATGTGTACTTAGCAAAGTGTTTTCTACTTAAACAGTGGCAAAAATAATCGAAATGTAATGTTATTTCAATTACAGTTGATCCTACCAAACAAAAATGGCACCCAGAAAGGCTAAAGCTCAAAAGGAAGAAGTCCAAGTATCGTTGGGCCCACAAGTACGCGATGGTGAATACGTTTTCGGTGTTGCACACATCTATGCCAGTTTCAACGATACCTTCGTCCATGTCACTGATTTGTCTGGCCGTGAAACCATTGCTCGCGTCACTGGTGGTATGAAAGTGAAGGCTGATCGTGATGAAGCTTCACCCTACGCTGCTATGTTGGCTGCTCAAGTGAGTAGTATTTGTACAGAGTTTTTAGTATTATTTTAAACTAATGCATCTTTTTATTTATATAGGATGTCGCTGAAAAATGCAAAACTCTTGGCATTACTGCTCTGCACATCAAATTGCGTGCCACCGGTGGTAACAAGACCAAAACTCCTGGACCCGGTGCCCAGTCAGCGTTACGTGCTTTGGCTCGTTCTTCAATGAAAATTGGACGCATCGAAGATGTTACACCAATCCCATCAGATTCCACACGCAGGAAGGGTGGTCGTCGTGGTCGCCGTCTATAAGCTAGAACACATTATGTTCTTTGTGCGTATATTTTGTTGTTCGTACGCATTTGCGTACAGCAGAAAAGGAAACGTTAGAAAAAATACAGATTTTTTAATATAAGTGGTGAAAACTTAAATGTGCGCTGTTTTTATTATTTGAAATCACCGATGAACGGCGGTAAAATATTGAATGCTATGGAACGAAATTCATACAAAAACAATTGAACAGAATTTTTGAGCAAATTATCGTAAATGAAAGCAGGGTATTCATGTGTTTGTGTTTCTGTTTCTGTAAAACGAAAACTTATTTGGATTTCAAATTGTGTAAGTAGGCAGTGTTCTAGCTTCGCAAGTTTTAACGGTAAGCACTTTTAAAAGTTGTAGTTTCGTTTTTGTTGTTGTTGTAACGGTTACCTAATCCCCGTTTGGGTGATAAGTTCCAGATTGATTGTCGTCGAGGTCATCTAACGGGAGGCGCAGGAAACGACCTGTTTCGACGAGGTCGGACCATAGGGAAAAGGGTGTTAGATGAGTGGGATTCGTTGGGCATGCAAAGAGGTGGTTAGTGTCATGCGGAGACTCATTGCACGCAGGACATGTGTTTGGAATGTGGGGTCTATTCTGGATAAGTAGGAGTTTAACCTGCTACAATATCCAGAACGAAGCGTAGGTGTTTGATTAGGGACATCAAGAGCCATCCTGTGATAGTCCGGAGTGCAGTATTCTGACAGGTCTGCAGCTTCTTCGTCTGCGTAGCACTACATCCAGGCGACCATATTGGGGCTGCAAACTGCCGGCTAAAATATCGAATTGAATTTCAACCCGATCATCATTTCTCCTCGGATTTGACAGGGTCTTGACAGTAGTCCAAAGCATACTTACACCGGTGGAGAGGTTGCAGGACTTCAGGTGATCTATCCATTTTGTCCGCTTAAGATAATTTACCATTTGCCGAATCTTCAAATTGACATCCCTTATTCGGGGATCACAGGGATAGGCATGGCGTAAGGTGTCGCGCTCGTTTGCTAGTACAGCTGCTTCGGCCGGGAAATTAGGGCGGAGCTCCGCGATTCTTCCAGCCGGTATGAAACGAGCAGTAGCGATCACCTTGCGAAATTGACGCTCGCTAACGATGACGTCTGTAGGAATGGGTAGTGCGTTGAAGGTGCTCTCAGTAAATTCTGTGAAGCCGACCCAGTTAGCTTTGTTGAAGTTAACAAAGGTGCTGTTGTCCACAGAAATAAAGTTGGGAGGTTTTTCGATCGAGATAATTATGGGCAGATGGTCTGATGCGATAGTTAGCATAGGTCGCCAGGTTATACTATTTATCAGACCACCGCTAGCGACGGTAATATCTGGCGAGCTATTAGAGGTGCCTATAATTTTGGTGCGGGCTTCGTCATTCATTATGCAGAATGTCGAATCGTCAATCTGTTCCGCCAGCTCTATCCCCCTACGATCATTTGACAGGCAGGAGTGCCAAAGATCGTGATGCGCGTTAAAGTCGCCTAGCACCAAACGGTTTTCCCTACGAAGTAGCGCACCTATGTTCGGGTGATATCCTGTTGGGCAAAATGTAACGGGGGGATGTATATATTAAATATTTCGAGCTCGACATCGCCTGACCGGACAGCTATACCCTCACATTCAAGGGTAGTGTCGATTTAGTGATTAGACGATATTGCACGGTGTTATGCAATATGAAGTAGCCTTCAAGGCCTCCACCATTATCTCTTCAAGGCCTCCACCATTATCTCTGTACTATCCATTATTGTTGCAGCTGTACTATCCGCATGGGCGGTTGTCGCACTGTGGCGTTGATTGGCGACGCCACTGTATGTAAATGCGAGGGCAGACTCCTACAGCATAGGGCAACATGCGACGCACTCCACTCACGTGTGGTGCGCAGACCGGAACATAACAGAATGCGACACCAGCCAGTACAAGAATTGCACTTGACTGATATGACATTCCGGCGAATTACGGTCTGACACACGGAACAGACTGTGCGAGGAACCAGGAGTTGCTGGGTGGTTCTCACACGAGGATTGGAGCTGGATGAAGGTTGGGGGGAGTTGGTCAGACTGGGAGTCATGCTGCCTGTGCGAGCTCCTTAGGGCCGTGGAGGTCCTATCTTGGCCACTCGACTGGAGTGGCGGCGCAGTGCGCGAACATGGTGCAGCTTGCACAGCCGTTGAGGCAGATGTCGCAGTATTGAGTTGGCAGCATGGGGCCACGTAACTCGTGGTCTTAAGGTCTGAGAAGGTCTTAAGATGGCTCCATCCATTGCATGTATTGCACCTAACCGAGGTGGAGTTTGGATGGAGCCTTCTAGCGCAAACGCAGTAGTAAAATTCCTCGGGGCCCGGGTTGGACTCGATGCCAGCACGGGTCAGGAGGATACGGAGCAAACCTGCTGCTAGGCGTTGCTCCAATGACGACAAACTTAACCCAGAACTTACCGATCCAAACCGGGTTAGATCTCCGAAATAACAGCCCTTGGCCGGATAAAATCCGGGGCAATTCCGTTAACATAGAACCGGCTGTTGTGGGAATTGAGTTGTAGTTTCGTCAATGCCGCTAACGTTAAACATAAAATACTATAAAATTTAGCGTAAATAAAAGACCTTAAGACCTTAAACTTATGCAAAGTATCGATTTAAAAAGGTATCACAATGTTCAGCTGGTGTAAGGCGCCTTCCAAATTCATCGCTAAAAATATTGAAGAACATTAAACTTTTCTTGTTTTGAATCCCAGATATGGAATATGCATATATCCTATATTTAGTTTATTTTAGCTAGTCGCCACAACCTACATACATATATCTCATATCCATTTATTCAAACAGCTGAGAGAAACTTGCGTCCATAAACGATTTGATGTATGATCCTGTCTGTCAAAGATCAGATCAAAATAAAACGATTACTTTTTATAGTCACGATTGCCACTTGGCAGTAAGTATTTCTGTGAGAAAGCGTTTTTAAAATTATCGACCGTTTGTTTTTGGTGGTCGTAAACTTTTATGCTAAATAAATCCTGGATCCAGCCCATCATCCATATATATAGAGAGATGTCTCATTTGTCGGAATTGTCGATATCGGACCACTCTCGCATATAGCTGTCATGCAAATTGACCGCACAAAATCAACCTAAAACTTACCGATCCAAACACCGTTAGATTGCTGAAACAACAGCTTTTAGCCGGATAAAATCTGGTTCAATTCCGGTAACGCAGAATCGACTGTTGTGCAACTTCGTTCTGGTTACGATAGCAGGTTAAACTCCTACTTATCCAGAATCTACCCGTGACATACTAAGTTCATATATGTCCAGCGTGCAATAGAGTCCCTGCATGACTCTAACCTCCTCTTTACATACCCAGCAAATCACACTCATCTAACTACCCTCATCCTATAGTACGACTCCGTCGAAACAGCGTGTTTTCTGGGTCTACCGTAGGATGACTTCGATGACAACCAACTTGAACCTCAACACTCAAGCGGGAATTATTTTCATTTTTTTATTAACTTCACCATAAGAAGGCTATAGAAACTATTACAGAAATTTTTGGTAGTTCTTATTTGTTGTCTCTCTCTTCTTCCGATTCAACTACTTATGTTAGCCGAGCAGCCGTAATGAAAATACACTCCGTCAGAACATAAAATATTTTTGCCGGTCCCACGACAGAATTTTACCGCTACAATAACAACAACCATATAAAATATTTTAATGGAAATCGTTTTAAAATAATTCAAATGTATTGTTATTCCGTAGTATGAAACTACTGACTATTTGTTAAGATTTTCAGCCATTAACTGCTACTATCAAAAACGTACGATTATAAACAAAACAATTACTTATATGAATCACCCTGTGTATATTATAATCATAATAATAATAATGATAAGAATATATTCTTATGATTTAATTGTGAAAAGTGTTCTAAGGCGCTTGAAAATTCTTCTTTCGAAACACAATCACATTCGTTAGACACTTGCTCAACCTTAGATCTTGCATCTAAGCCCTTTCATGTCATCATTAACGGTAATTAACCCATTTATTTATGACAAAACTTGAAGCTCGCACAATTCAAGCCACTTTAATTGCACGGGATTTTAATTGGCTCATTGTAATTCCAAAATGGGGTCAAGGTTTACGGCAAATGGTGATTCAAACGATAATATGCCAGGCAGGAGAGTCACAGATATATGTATATATGTTAATGTCTAACATATAAAGTGCTACTTAGAGGTGTCTAAGAACATGGCAAACTTTGTCAGCTGCATTTGCATGTGTGTGTGCACATGTGCCAGGGGAGAACTTTCTAAGATCCTTTGCAAACATGCAAGCAAACACACCGTTACAAATATGTATAAATGAGGACATCCGTAGAAAGTTAAATGATGCTTTAAATTATGTTGCATGCATTTTCATATGCCACATCGACGCCACAACAACAACAATAGCAATAATAACAAATACAACAACTATGGCAGCTTGCTTGGCATTTTCGCAAGCAACAACTGCACCTAGCTTGCTTGCCCCACAACACGCCGCCGCATGACCCGACCGCAAACAGCTGGATCGGCTCGTATTCGCACTCACATATTGCAGAAAATGTACTTAATGTGCCGGCATTATCATCAAATGAAACAGCATCAACACATTCAGCAACACTTAGCTTCCCGCCGTCGCGCCACACGCCGTACCCACTCAACTAACTGTAATACTTTACGCGTAATTGGCAGAATTGTACTTGCGGGCGGCGCGCAGAGGCATTAGAAGCGGACGGACGGACGCTGGGCGGCGCTTATAATGGCAAAATTCAAGTGTGCACTCAAGCCGTATGAGAGCTGGTCTTCTGCGTATGTGTATGTGCGTGTATACGTGCTGCAAGTGCAACAGTAGCTGCCTGCATATGTTGGCGCTCATATTTGTGCCGTTGCCGCTGCGGCTGCGTTCAAGGATGTGATGGGTTGGTGAAAAGTTGATATCTTTGCCAGTAATGAGCATGTTGCAAAAGTTGATTGCAATTTGAAGATTTCACACACTCTGATTACATGTTGCTAATAAAATGTTGTAAGCGAGAAATTGTGTGTTCAAGTGTATGCTATGTATGTATGTGGGTGTGTAGTTGCAAGGAATTATGAAACGCTTAACAGCGAAAAAGCGAACAGTAAGCAAAATAAAATGTAATCGCGTAGCTTGCAACAAAACAAAAAATTAATTTAAGTTTGAGGAACTGTGCGTGTTGCAGGAGGCCAGAAGCGTATACAGAGATTGGAGCGATATTTTCTTCTACAGAAATTCGCTTGCTTTGCTGGAAATAAATTCAATGAGAAAATAATTTCCAGAAAAACTTTTTTAATAACCTTCAAGTGTGCAATAAATTGTAAACATTTCTTCAAAGGTATGAAAAAGTACGTTTTATATTGTTGTTGTAAAAGCACAAAAGTAATGGTGTTACAGATCTTGCCCGATTATAAATCAGTGCAATTTAATTTCCCTTCGAGTTTCTTCTGAACCGAGTTCCTTCTTCATTTCTCAAGTTAGTGCCAATTCGCAAGCCATTGGCCATTCCATTTCTTCCTTTCAATAGTCTCTCTTTCTCTGGTGTTATCAGCTAGTATCAGCTAGGCGAATACTTACGGCGCTGAAAAATTTGTGTTTCTTCAAATAAGGTTCTTCAATCATGATAACACCTTTATTTCTTCTGCTATTTTCTTATTTGTCTCTTTTGCAAGTTCACATTGGCTCCCTAGACATTTCTCTTTCATAGCTAGAGATTCTACATTCTTTGGACGAGATATCCTAGTCAGCCAGCCAAAATGCTGCTGTATTGCCTTTCGTCATCTACTCTTTGATATCATATTATTGCAATGGTCTTGAGAAGCCACTTTCAAAGTGTTAATATTTTTATGTCAAGAGATGATTTCTTCTATATCGCACTACTACATCCAGAGTTCGTTAGATTCAAGATTTATCCTGTTTTCGGCGTTTCTGCCAGTTCAATGACAAAGAAAAATTCTCTAAAACTTCAAAGTTGGGATTGTCACCGCTGAGACGGTTTTTAACTGTTGAAAGAAAATATTTAGTATTGTCCTCATCGACAGTCTCTTTGATGTAGGCATAGCAAGGTTCTTTTTAGTGCATGGTCAATATCCGTCAGTTTTTTTATTTGTTTTATGAACGCATTTACCAGCTATACCAAAAGTAGTCCTTCTCAAACTAGATATGCAATGAATAGTATACTCATACATATGGCCAGCTTCAAAAAACCATTTGCAGCCATGCGGGTCAGAAGGAAATGTACACTGAGTGTGGTAAATGCATCTTAAATGAAAAAAGTTTTCAATAATACAATGTTGACGGCAGCACTAATACAATCACGTGCTCATTTGTGGAAGCCGCAGCAGAAACAACAAACAAGTAATAATATCGTGTAATTGCCTGCTGTGCTGAAGTATAGTTGTAGCTTGCAATCAAAGCTATTTCAGTTTTGAGTGAATCAAATTTAATAAAGATGCACAGCTTAGGTTTCGAATATCGCTCTTAATTAAATTAAAAAATTAAAAATGTTTTTGTTACAGACAATGTCAAATTTTGTACGATATTTCTTACACATAAATTCTACGAGGATCTCTAATAACTAAGAATACCATACTAAATGATTGGCTCTTCTATGTTAATCAGTATAGCTGTCCTCACTACTTGGTTTTTGCATGCCGAAAGCGATAGAGTTACCAAAGAGAAGAGAAGAGTTAGCGATAGAGAAAGAAGAGAAGAGTTACCTAAGAGAAATTGTTTCATATTCAAATTTAGGAAATACATTTTAATATACGTTAAAATTGTGATAAATCGAAAGCTAGGCAAAGTACGCCGGTAACAATCCCAATACTAGCTTACATTTTTTAGAACTTGAAATATCAAAGCATCTGACACCAAATCGACTGGCTATCTGCTGAACCGAAGCCAGTTTTATTGACTAACTGGAAAAGAAAAGTCCATAAACAACAATTATTATAAAGCTTTATTGTAACATTTAAAAGACGAAATCACGGAAAAGCAGCAACATTCGAAGAAGTCAATGAAGCTATTTATCAAGATAAAGTACCATTTTGCAAATTAATGAAAACTTTAGCAAAATTTTATAATTTGCGACATGAATGGCCTCCGCATCCATTGTATGTAGATACTTTTCCGGACTCACGATTACCGATTCGACTTAAATACTTAAGTTGAATCGGTACTGATATTGAAAGATCACATGATTGAAACAGAAAATTTACGTATTATTTTTCTTCTTCTAAATTCGCAGCACACAAGACTCATAGGATATTCTGATGCCCCAAAACTACTTGTAGAAGAAAAATCCATCCACTAAAAATAAGTTTTATTGAATAAAATGAAATTAAGATAATAATAAATTTTTCAGGAATTTAGATTTTATTCAATAATATTTATTTTTGGATCGATTTTATTTTCTTTTTATCCCAGAAAGCTTTTGTGAGAAGTAAATATTTATTTATTTTTAACCAGGAAAAAACTAGGTAAGGAAAGTATTAAGGTCGTATTCTACTCTAGTTTTTGGCAATTGATAAAAAAGTGAATTCATATTTTTACTAACCAATTTCTTATAATTTTTTTATTTTTTATATTTCAAGAGTATCGTACACTAGATAAATTCAATTTGAATTAACATAAGGTTATTTACAAAAGAAAAAAGATCGTTTATGAAGATCTTTACCTCGATTTTGCTCCGCCAGTTAGCTATATGCTACAATAATCCGATCTGAAAAATTTCTTCGGAGCTTGTAGCGTTGCTTTGAGCAATAAAATTTATGGCAAATGTCCTGAAGACATCTTGTCAAATAAAAAAAATTTCCGTACAAGAAATTGATTTTGATCGATCAGTTTGTATGGCCGCTATATTATATAATATATCAAATCAAATGAGTGAACTTGATATACCCTGCAGGGTTTAAAAAATTAGCCTTGTAACTTATTGTGAAGCTTAGTTATGGCAGTTTATTGGTTTTGGCTTAATGGGGTTTTGTAGGCGGGGCAATGGTCCGATTACGTCCATCCGCAACACTAACTCCCATCTTGGGTGTCAAGGAAGATGTGTACCAAGTTTCATCGAAATATTTCAAATTTTACTCAAGTTATCGCTTGCACGGATGGACAGACGGACAGACAGACAGTTATTCGAAATTCGTGATCATTTATATATACATAATTCCATATCTATCTCCATTAGTTTTGGGTGATACAAACAACCGTCGCCTAACAAAACTATTTTACTCTATTGCAACATGTTGCACGAGTATAACTAAGACGAATTCTTGATAAGTACAAATTATTATGAAAAAATAAAGCTGGAAAAAAATGCTTTCCGAAAATGGCGGCTACCTCAAAATAAGGCTTTTCAATAATTTTTTACCTTTCTCGCATTTTTAAAGAATATTAAAACTTAGAAATTTTCAGTTTTTATTGATTCATACCATAGAGAGATATTTGAAGAATATCATATTCATTCCAAATTTCAAGCAAATTAACAGATTAGAACTTGAGATATCGTAAAGAACGCATTAAAAAAAGTAGTTTCGAGAAAAACTCGTTTAAAGTTTTAATTTACGCTCAAACCGGTCGAGTTGCCACGATACTAAATGCATAAAACTGAAAATAAGTTTTATTTTTAAAAATTCTTTTAAGAAAATATCTAAGCTATCAAAATATGGAAAAAAAAAATTTTGATTTCTAGACCAGAATACCTCCTTAACTTTCGTTAAGTTTTTTTTCGGAAAATATTACTAATAGATGATCATTTGATTTGCCTAGAAGTTGACACTTTTTTGTTGTTTTGATAACGTAAATGAACAATTTCCACAATTTTATTTTGGATAAGTCAAACTTTAACCGTAAGTGCCCAGCATCATCCCACAAGCAATTTAAATGTTGCAAATATTTCGTGACTGTCAAACTTTCAATTTCTTGCCCCAGCTCACTTCCATGCACTTACATACAAACACACACATACATAAAACACACATATACACCCAAGCATATGTGTGCACACATGTGAATGCGCAAATCAAGTGAAAAATGCACAAAAATTTTCGACGCACATCAGCAGTCGGCTCCCCAAAGAAAAGTCACGTATACGCCTGGTAAACCCCATTGCCGCCACAGCTATGACAACAATTTCACAAGTAACAATCACTTGACTAATGTTGTTCAAGTTTTCAAGGATTTATGAAGCGCATAACTATCCACAATGCCAGCGATGAGTGGGGAGGGTGGTAAGGTAAGGTGGGACAAACGAATGGTTGGCGATGAAAACGAAAGTAATGAATGTAAACAAAAACGGATGTGAAAAAGTTTTCCATATTTTGTGCATTTCCGACATGTCGTCACACACACACATGGCCATTACATATGTATTATATTGCAAATAAATATAACAAATTCAAAAGCTACAAAAGTGCATGTGTGTGTGTGCAGGCCGCATTCATTTCAAATGTCTGCCACCTAAATGGACAACATCATTGCTTTCGCTGCCAAGTGTGGCATGCATCGCCATATCTGACTGACTGGGTGACGCAGCACCGCTGTGATAACTAAACTGCACACTCGCATACACACATACATTTATATACATATGGCATATCGTACTTTGCAAGTGCATGTGGCAGCGCTTGACTGCTTGACTGATTGTTGTATTCCACATGCAGCGCACGTTGCTATTGTGCTATTTATTTCCCAGCGCTTTGCTAACATAAAAATTACCCACACATACACACTCACACATGTTTACTAAAGCCGAGCTGTGAAATTTAAATAAAATAAAAATAAGAAGAACCGACGTAATAAATTGCAGTCAAGTCTTCAAGTCGGAAGTTGACTGCTGAGGCGATGCCAATGTGGCAGCATCCGTTAACACAGTTGTAGTTCCTACAATAACTGCATAGATAAGATAAAGCAGTTGACCATATAGGAAAGTTAACTCGTTTAAAGTTAATTGCTCAATTAGTGTCAGATAAATCACCACAAATTCCATTTTCATAAATCGTGTATGAAGGGAGATTTGATAGCAATCAAATGCGTGGATGTAGTTCATTATTAACCAGTAGACAATTGGTTGATTTGAAACTAGTTTGGTAACTAGTTAATTTTAGCTGCTAGTGACAATAATAGGTAAATAGTATTGGGTCTTATTCAGTATATCACGAAATATATAGTTTGGGTCTTGAAATAGTGTTACAAAGGTTCAACGGCAAGTGAGCGTCCAGGCGTAGCTTTAGCGATTATTCACTGCTGACAGTCTATTCACCATCAACATTTCTTAGATACCCCAGTGAAGTAGGGTTTTTCGCAAGAATTCTCTAAAATCTTGCGGATTCATGACAGCCTTCTACGCTTCCACAGCAGGTTCTTCACGCAGCTCTCTTGGCTTTCTTTAACTCAGACTCTAAGTTTTGTCCTATACAGCACTCAATCGTCACTAGAGTCACTTCTACGAGCCTTGTGGAAAAGTCTTCTACTCGAAGACCTGATTGCTGGTAGTTCCGACGCTCACCAAAGCCGTTTCCTTTTGTCTTTTCAGAGTTTTCAGAGGATATAAGTAGTCCTACACACAGAGCTGAAAACCTCGAGTTCTTGTCGGATCTGATTGGAAGAACTGATCGAAGTTTTCTTCAATACAGATCATTTAGTACTCCACACTTAAGATAATAAGTTAAATTTCACTTCACAGGATCATTTCTGTAGTTAATCTTCACTTACTTTCTTTGCATGTGTAGTAGAACGACTGAGCTGATATTTTGGGGTATTTTTTGAATTCGTGTAATTTTTATGTTAGTCAGTGTCATTCAACCTTACTTTAGAACCTATTTTCTCTAAAACGGTCTAATAGTCTCCGGAGGTAGTTGTACCTTTTTCCATTTTAAATTCCTTACTAAGTCTGTATAGAAAATATCTACTTTTGGCTATAAGAAAGACAATAAGGAGTGCCCCGAGTTGAAAATGGAGCCGGTTAGTAAATAAATTTCTGAGGTTATCATAAATAGATTGTGTTTGTTGACTCTATTTTCTAAGGTTGTAAATTTAATCGTCTTAAAATAAGTATCATAAACTCCGAAGCGTTTGTTGATGATGTCTTCAAATCTTTCATATTTTGGTTTATACAAGACGATACAATATTATTGACACAAATGTCCTTGTGGTCCTTTTTGTGTTCTGTTTTTTAAGAGTTCTAGTTTTTTTCTACCAGATATACATACATATATAACGGATCAACATGACGAACGGAGTTGGTTGAGCCATGTCCCTCTCGTCCGGTGTTATTTGACATGATATCTTCGTGAAATTAGGCACGTATTATTGTCCAAAAAAAAACTTCAATCTCCGAACAAATTGTTCAGTATAAATCCAAAGTTACCGTTTTTCTTGTTTTCTTTTAGATTTTCATGACTCTATTTTCCTAAGTTAAATTTAGCCCCAACCAAGTAACTTGGGGTATATTCATATAGTGGATACTGGTTCCCTACTTCAAAATGTTTTAGGTTCCTTCAAAATCGATCAATATTTTGCTGGAAGCGGATGGCCTATATTTAATAGAATTTTTTTCTCTCGATGTTTTTATTTTTGCCTGGACGTTGTGTGGAATATTCCAGTCAGCGACCGATACACTCTTCTATCACAAACCGCTACATATGTGTCTCAATACTTTGTCGCTGAAGTTGATATCGTAGTAGCATAAACCAGTTCGTAGTGCCAATAAGAGAACGGATATTTCAGTATAATAGCCTATTAATATAGTCCTTAAAATATTGATAGAGGATGTCATCAAAAGAAGCAGTCTCATCAGATACTTTTTCGACACCTCTATTGGGACTACTTCTCTAAGTTACGGGCTCCAAAACAGCATTTTAACTATTCAACACTCCATTCGTTTACATTTAATAAGTAGTAGTGACATTCTCAGCAATGACACAACTAGTTACAATATGACTTCCTTAAAAACTAGTCAACTGCAATTCATGCTTTCAAAATTGTCTGGTTGCTGTTGCATGTGGTTAACGGAAGTTGCATAACATGCTCAGAGAGCGATAAGTGAATTTATAAGTAAAAAAAAAAATATACAAAAATGTATTTATATAAAATGGTATGTGGCACATGCAACAGCGTCACACTGTCGGCCGTCCCAATTCATGTACAAACTCATCACTAAAACTCAGCGACACTAACACTAATAAACAGAGTGATATGCATGAGAATGCGCACACATAAAGATGCAAGCCACCAGCTCACACTTCAGCTCGAGCATAGCATAGCATAACATAGCACAGCATAGCACACATATGTATATCAGAAGTGCCACAAAATGGTGCGCTGCCTCACCCTTTCACTCGGTTGCAAAATGCCACGACAGCACCATCACTCAGAATTGCAGAATTTTATTGTAGCGGCGACAAACTGACATAACGGCATGTAGGAAATGCCAACAACTTGTTGTAGTTGTTGGTGAAAAAAGTATGGTGGCGACATTACTTTTAGAACAGAGCATTAACAATATGAATGGCAGTGAAGTATGCAACAACGCCATATGCAACGCGTATGTGGCAACAATGCAAGCGCTGCCGTTACGCACAGCAAAGTGAGCAGCGGTGCGTTGCCCGGAAAACGGCTGCAAGACACCGTAGCGTTGCGTGGCAATGCGAACGGATGCATAACAAACACAACTGTGTGAGGTGCTTTACAAGCATGTGAGGGTGTACGCGTGTGTGTGTGTGTGCGGTTGTTGAGGCGCTCAACCGCCAGGCAGGAAGGCAGGAAAATGTTGCATGCATACTTAAGTAGTTTTGCATGTAAATTGCGTTTGATGCAATTTAACTTTTAATTGCATTTTCACACAAATACACACACACACACCTGCATATAACTATAATATATGTATGTATATGCATATTCATACATTAAATGTAAAATATTTGAAATTCTTTCTGCGCACTCGCACCCTTTTACCGCTTCATTTTATTTAGATTGTCACATTTCATTTATCCTTCCGCTGTCACTCACACGCTCACACACAATCACACACACACTAGCAAAAACGAACTAAGGCGTTTGTTGGTAGGAGCAGCACTTGCTAGCCTTGCGCCATTTTTGTTGTTGTTGTTGCGAAATATGCTGCCGCCTTGGCTGTTGGCGTGTTAAATATGCACTTAAATTTTGATATCCTACGCTTGCTTAGCAATAAAAGTGCAATTACCATAAATGTCAAATGTGTGTGTGTGTATGTGTGTGTAGGAAAAACTCTTGTTAAGTAAACATATGATTTGTTGTTATTGTTGTTGTTGTTGTACAGTTAAGTCATTACGCATTGAACTGCAAACAATTTGCAATTAATGGCTTTCGCTCGCAAAACTGTTGTGGTTAAAATAATTTCATTTAAATGTATATTTGTATGTATGTATGTAAGTGTATTTGCAAGCGTTTATTTTATGAATCACAAGCTGGCATATTTCAGAAGCAACTTAAGTGCTAAGCTTTTATAAAGCGATAATAGAAAATATTTTTAGTTGTTACTTAACTGTCGGCGCCGAATGGGTTAAGTAACTGTCTAATAGTCATGTTTAATATTTGTTTAGACAGCATTCGATAGATGCTTGCAACCGAATACAAAATTATACAACATATATTTTAAAATATTTTTTACTTGTAGTATGATTTAGTAAAAAAAATATCCAATATTAATAATCCATTTTTTTTTGCATTAAATTAAAGGTTTAATTTAGCATAGTTAGAGTCATCAAATTTAGGTAAAAAATATACCGTTTTGTTCGATAACTTGTTGTCATTTTAAAGATAGTTTCATAAAGGCACTCTCATAAAAACGTTCGTTATTATTGGCAAACAATTAGGACAATCATTTGCTTAAGAAAGAACTAGACAGTATTTACTTTGTGCCAGGTCTTTGTAACTTGTAACTTTTTAACCAAGCTCCCGGAGCTCTTGGCGATTCGCTATTGGTGTGTGGCCTGGTGTTGTTCTGATGAAACACAATTCTCCTTCTACTGGCCTTAGCTATCCGCTTCTATGTAATTACAGGCATAAATTAAGGATTCGGCTGCAGGGGAGCAGCTCATACTAGATTATTCCCTGCTAATCTACTACACGAAATCTTATCTTTCTACTAAACCTCTTGATAATTTTACCGAAAGCTAGTAAACAAAAAATGTCTGTAAAGTTATTAGCACTATCTTGTTGTCGCTACATTCATATTCGCAGAGAATCTTTAAGAGTTAACTAAGAAATTTCGGCAATAGATGATATTTTTATTAAATAGGAGATTGCATTTATCGTTAGAATATTTCTCTGATATTTGAATGATAAAACGCTTACCAGAACGAAAAAATTATGCCTTATAAGCAGTGACAGCACCAATCTAAAAGAAAATATAGTTTTATCCGACTTTATTAGCATATCCGACTGGTCATGTGAATGCCGTTGTGAGTTTGGTTCGCCGACAGATTCTCCGGTTTCTTTGATAAGCGTTCGCCCGCAGAACTCCACTGCTTTGCTTCCTTTTATATCTCTGCAAAATGTTTTTAAACTTTAAACGCAAGAACTTATTCCAGTCGACCAATTTTTTTTATACCATAGTTTAAAAAATCGCTAATTTTCTAACTTTTTTGAAGTTTTTTCAAGATTCCTTTCAATGGTTTTCAAATACCAAAATGGAAACGAAGTTTATATAAATTTTATCATTAAAGTTGAAACTAAAGGAAACGTATAAAATCTCTCAAACCTCGACTTTGTCTTTGTATGCTTTTATTCGGGATATCTTACCCCGAAGATGAGTTTAGCCACTATAAAACCTAGCCGGAAAAGTAAGAGGAAGAACTGTAGTTGGCTGTGTGAATAGGAAGGTTCAAGTATGCCAGCTTCAAACTCAGCCATGATAGTGGAGGCAACCTCTGTAGACAGCCAAAAACAGTGCACAATTTTGAGCAAAATTCTGTTTTTATTTCGTTTAATCAACCATATCTACATATGCAAGTTGAATGATTTATTTCTTTCCAACGAGTCTTCCTCACTTTTAACGTCATCTAAACTGATCCTACGCTAAGGTCAAATCAAACCTGGACCACTAGCCTTGACTGACTAATATGTATTTACTCTCCAGCAGTGTCCTTCTCGCCAGTTATGTGTAAAATGCCGCTGAGAAATATGTTATTATGCATATTTTAATAATAAATAATCTATGCTTGTGGCTTCGCTTGACTTGCATTGACCTTTGAAGCCGTGGCAACAAAGATAAAAGCCCGGCGAACCATGCACTTCAAGCTATAATTTTAACGACGCTTTCAAACAATGCTCGCCACTAGAAAATGTGTACGTAACTTCTTTTCAATTATTATGCACACACATACATATGTACACACATGCTATACATATATGTGAGCAGCACAATCAGTAGAATGTGAAACAAAGCCAAGCTATTGCTGTAGCGTTTTTCAACGTCACATGTGCGCTTGTTTTCTCTGGAAATATTTACACTGACCGAGCTTGTTGCATGTAATAATAAATAATCCCTTGCAAATATGTACTCACGTACAATATATAGTATAACGAAGTGTTTGTGGTAAATGCTAGTTAGCACATATGGATATAACTGTAGTTACGTGCTCAAAAATGCTTCTATGGAAATGTGAGTGTGTGTCTGGGTGTGTGTACGAAGTAATTTTTATGGCAGCGAATGAAGCCGCGCTTCTAAGTGCATTGTCATGTTATCAATGAACGACATTTCTGGTATACTGAGAT